CATCTGTGCCTGGAGGAGGAGGCCGCCTCTGGGTGCAGGAGGAGCTGCTGGAATTCTTCTTCTGAGCCTTCTTTTAATGCCCTCAAGCACCTCCTGCACCCAGATGGACCCCACCAGCAGCAGTAGAATAAACAGGCCCTGCAGCAGCAGGACTGCAGCTCTAGTGAATGAGACAAGCCTCTCTCCAGCAACGTAGAGGAGCCCAGGCTCAAAACCCTGGTCTCCGCCTCCATGTTTGCCACCTGCCCAGGACTAGGGGCAGCATGGGAGCTGCTGGCTGGGGCCGTGCTGGTCACCCCCTCCCTGCCACCTGTCTCTCCAGCCACCCTTTCAGCTGCAAGGCTAAGGCCAGTGGCTATAGTAGGTGCCGTGATTTCAGGCAACTCCTCTCTGGGCTGGTGCTTGGCTGGAGCTCCCTTCACCTCCAGCGCTGTCTCTGGAGGGGGCTCTTCCCATGCTGGTTCTGGCTCAACAGCTGGTGCTGGAAATGCTTCTATTTCTGCATATTGAGCAGGAGCTGAGAAAGGAGAAAGGGTCCCCAGCGTCAGTCACTTTCCACTGGAATTTCCAAACACAGAAACAACCTCCCTGAATTTAAAGGAGTTCCAGCCCCTAAACACCGCCCCTGCAAAGTCTTCCAGACTGCAGGCCACCTCACCATGTGCCTCTGCCTCCATGGGCTCCCAAATCTCCTCCTGGACAGGGACAATGTGCAGATGCAGCCCCGATGGGATCTCTAGTGTGGCCTGGCCTGCTAGGGCCTGCCCCGGGCTGCCCTGTGGTACCTGGGTGCGCCTTCTTACAAAGGGCCACAGGCATCTGGGGTGAGGGATGAGCCTTCTTCGGCATCATCGGAAAAGGCTCTCACTCCCTCCATTCCTGAAGCAGCAGCCTCTCGAAGTGGGGAAGCAACACGAGAACATCTTGCTGTCTCCAGCGTCTCCCACCAAGTGAGCTGGTTACAGTGCTGACTCTAGGATCTGGGCGCCTGGTTACCAGAGTTCTAAGTTCTGTTCGGCTCTGTCATTAAGGAAGTGAGGTCGCTTCTTTAAGGTTCTGTCCCCTCAGCCTCTTCCTTCCATAAGACCTCCTCAGGACTCCACTGGGCTGCTGACTGCTCACCCTCCCCCCAGGACACCTCCTTACCTAGACACCATTATGTCCACCCAGGGCCTGCTTGGACACCTGTGCCTGATGTTCACCGGGGGCCGGATGTCCTCCTCAGGCCTCATGTCCACGGAGGGCCTGATGTCTGCCTTGGGCCTATGTTCCTCTTGGGGCCTTGTGTTCACCTGGGGACTGTATCCAGCTGGGGCCTGATGGCCTACTGGGTCTTGTTATTCACCTAAGGCCTTGTGTCCACCTGGAGTCTGGTGATCACCTGGGACTTGGGTATCAACCTGGGACCTGGGTGTCCACTTAAGGCCGGATGTGCGCCCAAGGCCTGAGTTTTCACCTGAGCCTGATGTTCTCCTGGGGACTGGGTGTGTTCCTTGGGTCTAATGTACACCTGGAGCCTACATGTCTACCTATGGCATCCATCGTGTCTACCTGCGGCCTGATGTCCACATGAGTCTGGTGTTCAACATGGGCCTGGCCTGCTGTCCACGTAGGGCCTTGGTGTCCATCTGGGGCCTGGTTGTCAACTTGGGGCCTGGTGTACACCTTGAGTCCAGAGTCCATCTGGGGCCTGATGTCTGCCTGCAGGACTGGCGTCCTCCTGAGTGAGGTGGGAGGATCTCTGGAGCTCAAGAGATTGAGACCACAGTGAGCCTTGATTGTGCCACTGCCCTCCAGTCTGGGTGACAGAGTGAGACCCTGTCTCAAACAAATCAACGAAAAACCGCACAAATTATATAGCTATACAAAAATATTGTCTTTCCTTTTAACCTTATTCTGTGAGCTTTTTTCATTATTTATTTATTTTATTTTCAAAACCTTTTTAGTTAAAAGCCAAGACACAAACATACACTTTCGCCTAAACCTAAGCAGGGTCAGGATCATCAATTTCACTGTCCTCTACCTCCACATCTTATCCCACTGGAAGGCCTTCAGGGGCAGTAACAGGCATGGAGCTGTCATCTCCCTGATAATAATGCCTTCTTCTGGAAACTTTCTGAAAGACTTGCCCGAGGCTGCTTCAGTTAACTTAAAAAAAAAGTAGTGATGGAACTGTTCAAAGTTACTAACTTTGGATTTTCTGCCCACCTAACTGCCGGAGAAAGATTTTTAAAGTAGCATATGAATTATTGCTTTTTATGGAGATGCCATTATTAAATTTTATAATTGCCCTGCTTTTTCCAAATATGACATATAAACAGTTAAATCGATTCAAGATCATTAAATCATATGAAGTAATTTTTATATACATTATCTGCTGGGTTGAATATTACATAAATCTTCTCCAACCCATTGGTAGTCTTACAAAGACAGAGGCATATTTTTTGAATTTCTGAGCTTGATATCAAACAATATAAAGGCTGTTAAGAATGCTGAGATGGATTTGCTTAATAGATGTCAAACCGGCCTGCCTTCACAGGAAGGGCATATAGCCGCTGCACTTGCACCAGACAATTTATTTGTGTGTCTGTGGATAAGATGTAAAGAAAAACAATGAATAACTTCCAAGGCAGTGAACACATTGCAGCTGAGCTCTGGAATTCTTAGTAGAAACCATGAAAAGGCAACGAAAACACTTAGAGCAATTGCAGGTTAGAAACTGGGATTCACAGGAGCTTAATGGGGCACATTATGTTAAGTGAAATTGTAGTGGGACAAGCGCAGACAAAACTCCTCAGACACCGGATTAAAGAAGAAAGAGGTTTTTTATTCGGCCGGGAGCGTCGGCAGACTCGCGTCTTAAGAGCCGAGCTCTCTGAAAAAGAAATTCTTGGCCTTTTTAAAGGCTTACAACTTTAAGGGGTCCACGTGAAAGGGTCGTGATAAATCGAGCAGGTGTGAGAAATGTGACTGGGGGCTACATGCATCAGCTAAAAGAACAAAAAGCTTTACAATGCTTTTTTCATACAGTGTCTGGAATTTACAGATAACACAAGTAGTTTAGGTCAGAGGTTGATGTTATTATTATTACTTTTTTTAGCTCCTAGGGCCGGGTGGTGGTGCCAAGGTTGTCTGGCTATTTATCTTACTTTTGTTTTTTTCTAACTTTTTGCTTTCTCTCTTTCCTCCTGTCTTGTGAACTAGGCAAGGTGGGGGGAGGAGGGCAGCAGGAGTAGTAGTGATCTCCTTCTTTATCCCCCACTTCAAGAATTTATACTAATTAGTGGGAGTTCTTACTTTTATTTTTACTTGCTGAGTCTCTTTGCGAGACAGAGCAATAGTGTTTTATGTAATACGCTTGTGCTGAAGTCTTCTGAGGAACCCATGGTAGCTACAAAACCTTTTATCATTTGAAGGAGCAAGTGTAATACACAGGGGAGCAGCAAGCAAGTTTCTATTACTAGTAATACACTTATAATGAGGGTTTTACATTTTTTTGTAGTTGGAAACTGTTTTCTGAATGAAGACTTAGGTTCAAACCTGTGTTAAACCTGTACAGGCACATGTACCAACTTTGTCATGTCTTAAGCAAGTTAGTTTTTTTACTGGGTCTTAAAAGCTTTTTCTTAGCAAGTAACACAGTATTTTTTAATAACAGAAACTTTTAAGAGCCAAGACGCTTGAACTTGGGGCGTCTGTTTGGGGAAAGATTTAGTTAAAGTAAAGTTATTTTGAGGCATTAACTCTTTTGCTTCTCAAGGCTGTTGGTCTCTTATGTCAGCTTTTTTATAAACATAACATAGAGAGACATCCAGGCTGCCAGCAATGTTTTCAGCCAGCTGAGCAAATAGGTTTTTTTCTATTTTCTTTTTGCTAAAGGAGGAGGTTCTGGTAACTTCTGGTTTATATGTTTAAAGAATGACTGAAAGACTCAGAATTGTTGCTGGGCTGGATGGGTCTGGGTTTCCTAAGTAGTATGTGTACAGTGGGGACACCTTATATAGGTGTTTCTTCTAGCATGGTTATGGGGGGTATCAACAACAAAACAATGTACAGTATATTCATATCCAGCAAGGACAAAAGAGGTCCTTACCTGGGAAAAAGGTTGAATACAGACACAGAACAATAGGAAAACAGTTAGTATTACAGGAAAACTATTAGTCTTAAGATTTTTAACTACATTTACTTGCTTGATGAGTCCTCAAGCTTCGGCCGTGCGTAGACTAGTCAGCTGCTGGTGTGTGACTAGAGCAGGGCTGTCGTTCTCAGCAGCAGCTTGGTCTCATCTCAGGATTGGCTGGGTTGGGTGATCTGCATCCTGCTGGCTGGTCCATTGTCCTGAGCTGCCAGTGTTATCTGACTGTGGTGGATCTAAGACACAACACCTGCAACTTTAACAGCAGTGGGAGTGGACAAGGTTACAAGGTTACAGTACAGGGCCCATCCTATATGGGTCCTAGAAAAATTAAATTTTACTTTAAACAGAGTCACTAGATTTAAAGGGGTGTCAGGCTTATAGGCATTTTCATTTACTTAATTATGAACACTTTGTATGGCTATTTTTAAAGCCTGCATTTGCTTTTTTAAGGTTAATTCCTTTGGTTTCTGGAGGTCCCCTTTAATTTGACCTATGATTTGGGGGTGGCAGACTGAACACAATCTTATAGGGCAAATACCTAGTTTGTTTGGTGGGGGTGCACCTGACTCGGAGGAGGACCATAGCCAAAAACCTGATTTTATCTTAAATGAATTTCCTGGCAATATTTTTTTCAGTAGCTGCTCGAGTGTCTAGTTCATGTGTTCTACCTTTTCTTGAACTTTGTGCCGATAGGCTGTGTGTAACTTTTATTTTATTTTTAACAGTCTTGTTAAATCTTGCACTATGTCAGCTGCAAATGCTGACCTATTGTCTGACTTTAAAGTTAGAGGTACTCTAAACCTGGGGATAATGTCTTTTAACAGTACTTTAGTCACTTCTTGTACTTTTTCTGTCCTGACAGGGAAAACTAACTTACCCTGAAAATGTGCAAACAAGCACTAACATGTATCGACAGCCTCCAGCACGGAGCAGTTCTGTAAAGTCTATACGCAAGTTTTCACAAGGTATTGCTCTTTTTCCTGTTTAAGTTTCTTAGAGGAGGGGCTCTTCTCCCCCACCCCCTCTTGGTAACACTATTTAGTGGCTTAGTCTTCAGTGAGTAGTTGGAATCCAGATGCGGCAGAATCTTGCTGCTTTTAACTTCTAATGTGACCATGGGCTCCTGGGAGCCTAAAATAAGGTGCCTAGTCTGCCTTAGTCTATACATTCTTCAGCTCCTGTCAGCCTGATCAGGTCAGTATTTGGTTCCTCCAAGGTGCGGCAGCCCTTGGCCGATGGCCTCTTTGTCTTGCAGCCTTGGCCATTTCTTTTATTGCCTTTTAAATATTTACCTTTTTAGTGTCCTTTCTTTTTGCATCTCACACGTTAATCTCTCTCTAGCCTTGTCCGGCTCTTGAATCCTTGCCTAACTTGACTTCTTTCACATTTATATTCACGTCCACGTCCTCTCACATTGCTAATTTTTGTTTTTATGAGAGCTGTTGCTAACAGATTGGCTTTTTTTCTTAAGTCTTTAATTTGCTTTTTTGTTTTTTCCTTCTGAGTTATCCTGCTCTTACAGCCAGCTGGTGGGGCGGGGCAAGGGCACGGGACCCGCCCCCGCACACTGCTCTCTGTCTCTCCTGTTTTCTTCTGATTCTTTTTTTTACACTTACTTTTAGTCTTTTTTTTGTTGTTGTTCTTTTCTTTATATAATTTTTTTATGCACTTGGAGGGTTAAACAGGCATACCGAGAGTCAGTGTAAATGTTTACATTCTTACCTTTACTGAGTACTAAGGCCCGAATTAAAGCAATGAGCTCAGCTTAACAAGACAGTGTCCAGGGTTACCACCGCATATTCCGCACCTCTCTCTCCTTGTGGGTTGATGAAGCTGTATAGCTCCTAGTCTACTGATGCCTAAGACTGGTCCCGGAGGTCAGGTCTACTAGAGTAAACTTGAGTCCCACACACCTCTACACAGTTATGCTCGACAGGGCTCTAGCTGTCGGGAGCAAGGCGGTGGGGTCAGGGTGTTTCCAGTTTAGTAAATCAATGGTTGGAAAGGGCTGATAGATGAAAGTCTGTTGCCCCCCCCCCCCCCGGATGTGGGCCTGGTCATTATAATAGACAGGTCCTTGCGTCTGCCTGAGAGGCATTTACATAGCTCAAGCAAGAACAGATCTGAGAGGGCCCACTTGACTATCTTGACTTCCTTCCTTGGCCTCTCTAGGCTCCGATCCTCCCCTTCGAGGTGAGACCTGGGTCATGTTAGCTCCTGAATCTCGTTTCTGAGGGGGCTGTTGGCCTCAGTAAAGCGGGGTAGGCTGGGACATATGGAGAAAGAATTTCTATTATCTCTGGCAACTCCTGCAAAACTGGCTTCTCTTGCTGTTTCTGGGACTCCTTTTTTTTTTTTTTAACTCTGTGTCTGCTGGCGAAGCTGCTCTTACTTTTACTTTTGGCTTTTTTGCAATAAGCTCTTAAACAGGGCTAAATTTATGCTGGTTTTGTCTATCTTATATTTAACCATGAGTCAATATAAAGGAATTTGATCTAGGTACACTGGCTGTCCTCCGACCCCTGTCACCACCTTAAATACATGGCCAATTATTCTCTGTCTGTAGTTCCTTCAGTGGGCCATCCAACACCAAAAGAGGGCAATTCTAATTTACACAGAGTTCTTAACCTCTAGGGGGTTAACTTAACTCTATAATCTCCTGCAAAACCTTTTTTAAGGTTCTGTAACATGCATTTTAATAGAGTAAGTTTTGATGATTTGATGACTTTCCTTTTTTCTTTTTGAAATGTTTTTAACACATTTCCTAGTGGAGTGGCCTTACTTTGTGTCTGACCTATTTTTCTCTCGCGACAAAACAACATTCACACTACAAGAAGGAAAGGGCACGAGATCACTCACTCGTCTAATTCACACTAAATCAAAATCAAAGCTATAACCAAAGTGTTGTTAAAGGCACAACTGTTCGTCAAGCAGTTTAAGCCAAGTCAAAATCAGAACCAAAACCAAAGCGCCAATAAAGGCACGCCTGTTTATCAAGCAATTCAAGTCAAGTCAAAATCAAAACTAAAACCAAAGTATCAAGCAATTAATTCAAATCAAGTCAAAAACAAAAACCAAAGTGCCGGTACAGGCACGCCATGGGTGATCAGGCCACGCTTCCACTCAAATGGAGTGGGCAAGTTCTAAAGACCAGTCTTACCAAGTTTCAGATGTCTGGACTTAAAGTGCCAGTGCCGTCCCAGTGTTCAGCCACTGTGTTGATCCTCCACGGGGGTCTGCCGTGCACTGCTCTGACGAGACGTTCCTGACGAGACGTTCCACTGCAGCAAATGCCTACCGGGAGCGTTCTCAGGATCCTCATCTCAGGATGTACATCTCAGGATCCGCCAAGCTGGCCAGAGTCCGCCTACAGGGCAGGCATAAGCTGCCTAAGGGGCTGCCTCTACCGTCCGTAAATCACCTCGCTTCCCGGTCAAGGAACCAAGAAATGTAGCAGGATGAATACAGACAAAACTCCTCAGACATCGGATTAAAGAAGGAAGAGGTTTTTTATTTGGCCGGGAGCCTCGGCAGACTCACGTCTTAAGAGTCGAGCTCCCCGAGAAAGAAATTCTTGGCCTTTTTAAAGCCTTACAGCTTTAAGGGGTCCACGTGAAAGGGTTGTGATAAATCGAGCAAGTGTGGGAAATGTGACTGGGGGCTACATACATCAGCTAACAGAACAAAAAGTTTTACAATGTTTTTTTCATACAGTGTCTGGAATTTACAGATAACACAAGTAGTTTAGGTCAGGGGTTGATATTATTATTACTTTTTTTTAACTCCTAGGGCTGGGTGGTGGTGCCAAGGTTGTCTGGCTATTTATCTTACTTTTGTTTTTTTCTAACTTTTTGCTTTCTCTCTTTCCTCCTGTCTTGTGAACTAGGCAAAGTGGGGGGAGGAGGGCAGCAGGAGTAGTAGTGGTCTCCTTCCTTAAAATCAGCCAGGCACAAAAAGACAACTACCACGTGATCTGACTTATGTGGAATGTAAAACAATTGAACTCACAGAAGCAGAGAGTAGAATGGAGGTTACCAGGGGCTGGGAGGCAGGGGCTTGGGGACATAGTGAAAGCATTCAAAATTGTACTTAGGAGGAATAAGTTTAAGAGATATATTGCACAACATGGTGACTGCAGTTAATGTATTGTATTCTTGAAAATCAAGAAGTGTTCTCACCACAAAAAATAAGTATGCGTATGTTCCTGAGCGCAATGTAATCATTCCACAATCTGCTTATTTCTAAACAGGTTTTACACAACATATATACAATTTTATTTGCTATTTAAAAAGCTAATGGATTGTAAAAATTAAGTACTGGAAAACTTGTAACAGTTTAGAACAACTCTCTTTGTAAAATTAATGGTTCCTTTCTTAACCAACCTGCTGGTCTCTATTAGTTAATGAAATGGAACTTAGTTTATACTCTAAATCTCAATACAAAATTGTAGTCGTCTTCTACGTATTAACTGATCTGAAAGTAACAGCAGAATCATAATGAAAGCCATCTGAAAAGAAAGTTATCCCAAATGAACTGTTTTATTAGCCTTTGATTTATCTCTTTTACTTAGAAATAAAATGAATAATTATTATTTTAATAGACCCAATTGCTTCAGGCTATAAACTTGATTATTCAATTTCCACTTCAATTTTTATAGCCTGAGAGACATGCTTTTGAAAATATTCTTGGCTGTGCGCGGTGGCTCACGCCTGTAATCCCAGCACTCAGGGAGGCCGAGGCAGGCAGATCACGAGGTCAGGAGATCAAGACCATCCTGGCTAACACGATGAAACCCCGTCTCTACTAAAAAAATTAAAAAATTAGCTAGGAATGGTGGTGGGCGCCTGTGGTCCCAGCTACTAGGGAGGCTGAGGCAGGAGAAAGGCATGAACCCAGGAGGCAGAGCTTGCAGTGAGCTGAGATCGTGCCACTGCACTCTAGCCTGGGGGACAGAATGAGACTCTGTCTCAAAAAAAAAAAAAAAAGTAAATATTCTTGGCCGGATGTGGTGGCTCAGTACCTATAATCCCAGCTACTCAGGAGGCTGAGGGATGAGAATCCCTTGAACCCAGGAAGTGAAGGTTGCAGTGAGCCGAGATCATGCCACTGTACTCCAGCCTGGGCAACAGAGGGAGACTCTGCCTCAAAAAAAAAAAAAAAATCATTCTTGAATAAAAACACAACACCTTTAATTCTATGCTATTGTCCTTTATATATTAACTTGTAGAAAAAGAAAAAATTTGTACAATGAAATTTATTAGTCTACTTTAGATTAATATATTTTCCTTTATATCATGCAGTTTACTTAATCAATCTCCATAATCAACTGCATTTTTTTTTTTTTGAGATGGAGTCTTGCTCTTGTTGCCCAGGCTTGAGTGCAATGGCATGATCTCAACTCATCACAAGCTCTGCCTCCTGAGTTCAGGCTATTTTCCTGTCTCAGCCTCCCCAGTAGCTAGGATTATAGGCATGCGCCACCACACCTGTCTAATTTTGTATTTTTAGTAGAGACGGGGTTTCTCCATGTTGGTCAGGCTGGTCTCGAACTCTTGACCTCAGGTGATCCACCCACCTCGGCTTCCCAAAGTGCTGGGATTACAGATATGAGCCACCGCGCCCAGCCGTATTTCTTTACAGATGTTAAATTTGAGGCAATTGTCTTTTAAGATACCCTTTTGTCAGTTTCACTTACTGATGGCAACTTTCTACTTTGAGTAACATGATTCATCTCTACTGTCAGGGGTTGGGGTTGCTGAGGGAGGAAGGTGTATGTGTGTGTGTGTCTGTGTTTATTTTGTTTACAGACTGCATCTGTCCTACTGGCTGGGAGAACACACACCGACATCTGTCCTGGCAGTGAGGGAGGGAGTAGCCCTCTGGGCACAGAGAGAAACCATCACTGCACCCAGAGTGCACCTACTCTAGTAAAGAACAAGTCTGAGAGCTTGCACACTAGTGAGATGGTCAGTTCCTCACTCTGCTCACAGTAAGGACAAGGCTGTGACTATCAGCTGGGCCAGAGAGTACACAGCTCAACAGCAGGTTTTTAAAAAGAGAGCAGAGTCTTCTTCTTTCCACGTTAAAAACAATCATAATATGGTTCAGCTGACCACCAAGGACTGGGTTATATCCCGCTATTCTCTGAAACTCAATACTGTCTGAACTTTTTGGAATCTCATAGCCTTTTCTATCTAAATGTATACTGTTACTCTCATGGCTAAAAGTTACAGGGAGCAGTCTCTTTCTTTCAGTTGTGTTTCCAATTCTTTCTGGTTTCCTACACTATGACACTTTTAAACAATTTAAAAATCTTCCAGTCAGGCTGCACTCTCTGTTAACAATTGGTTTTTAATGCCCTAAAATTCACAGCATTTCCTGTGTGAAAAATAAGAAGTCACAATTTTATTAATCATCATCTGTTTGAAAGCCGTGCTAGTTTTAATAGTTACTGTACTTCTCAACGTATTTTAAATGCCCATTCATGTGTCTTGTCTAACATTCCCAGGTTTGTGCTATTATACAAAGCTGTAAAAGAAATGACCAGGAGAATCAATGTACAAATGGCTGAATAAACAATAAAGGTCCCAGCAGTTGTTTAGGACAAAACAGACCTGGCTGAGTCTCAAGTACCAAAGCAGGAATCATAAACATGCCACAGGGGGATTTATTCTAAATGATATTTAAATATTTAAAAATGTATAATTTATATATGATCAAAAAGAAAATAATTAACTATTTTTTTTTGAGACCGAGGTCACTCTGTTGCCCAGGCTGGAATGCAGTGATGCAATCATGGCTCACTACAGCCTTGAACTCCCAGGCTCAAGAGATCCTCCCACCTCAGCCTCCTGAATAGCTGGGACTGTCCAAATGCACACCTGGAAAGAAGGTGAAAACTTATTTATATTTCAGTGTAATTCTTTGTGAAGAAGAAAACATAATAAAGGCATTAGGAATGTAATGCCTAAATAGTAAAGTATGTTTTTATGGAAAATCACCGGCAGCCGGAAAAAATGTCTGCCGAATATTTAGGTCCTGTTTGCAAGAGTAGCGGGGAGCACTGCACACATCTCAGCTCAACTCACAGGCAAGGCAGGACCCAAGCCACAGCCTTAAATGTATTCATTTGCTAAAAGAAAATGAACAATTATTTCTCTTCTTTCCATATACTTAAATCTAGTTTTATCATTAAATAATTTCTGGCTGGGTATGGTGACTCATGCCTGTAATCCCAGCACTTTGGGAGGCTGAGGTGGGTAGATCTCAAGGCCAGGAGTTCGAGACCAGCCTGACCAACATGGTGAAACCCCCCTCTCTACTAAAAATACAAAAATTTAGCCAGGCGTGGTGGCAGGTGCCTATAATCCCAGCTACTCCGGAGGCTGAAGCAGGAGAATTGCTTGAACCAGAGAGGCAGAGGTTGCAGTGAGCCAAGATCATGCCATTGCACTCCAGCCTGAGTGACAGAGCGTGATTCCAACTCAAAATAATAATAATAATACTAATAATTTCCGTATTTGAGCCCAGATTAATATATCATTTGTGAAGTTGATGTCTGCTTTGATTTCAGCTTTCCTGAAGTGTTAGAAAAATGCTAAGTTTCTTACATTATGCCTGATGGCCAAGTGATGGAGTCAGTGTGGAAGCATTTTTCGTGGAAGGTCCTGGTGGTCTCACAGGTAGCACTGAGGATGACATATGCACTCAGGCAAGAGCAGTTTCTACCTTGTCTCTCACTGGGAAATTGTGAATATAACAAGGAGCTTCTTTCAGCATAGACAGTGCTTCCTGCATTTGCAATATAGGGCCTCTGATCCATGTCATGGGGGAAATACTCTTTCTTTTTCTTTCCTAAAATTGCCTCAACATAAGGGATTTGACAGCATTGAATCATTGAATTCTGTCTCTGATGAAAGAGAATTCTGTCTCTGTGTAATCTGGTTAACCTATTAAGTGTTCCTATAAGAAGCAAATGTTGAAATGGTAAAATGGTGAGCAGTTTTTTTTCCCCACCCCCAGAGGGACAGGGTCTTGCTCTGTTGCCCAAGCTGGAGTGTGGTGGCATGATCATAGCTCACTGCAGCCTCAGCCTCCTGAGTAGGTGGGACTACAGGCATGTGCCACCACACCCAGCTAATTTTTCAAAACTTTTTTGTAGAGACGGGGTCTCAGTATGTTGCTTAGGCTGGTCTCAAAATCCTGGCCTCAAGCAGTCCTCTCACCTTGGCCTCTCAAAGTGCTGGGATTATAGGCATGAGCCACTATGCCAGGCCAGTAAGCAATTTTGATAATAGGAGAAGGGGAATCAAAGAAAATTCAAGAAAAATGATAAAAATAAGCCATGTAACATGAGTGCTATCACAAAGGTTAAAGAAAACTAATTTCAAACAATAGATGATTTAGACAGGGGAAACTGTTACATAAAGAATTTCTCTAATACCTCAAATTCCACCCCACCCCACTGTCTATCCCTTTTTCCTCTATGCTTATTCATGTTTTAAGTATCTATAATTGGTATAATCCACAAAGACACTTATTTTAAACCTCAAAGCTTTTTTTTGAGACAGAGTCTCACTCTATCGCCCAGGCTGGATTGCAGTGGTGCGATCTCGGCTCACTGCAAGCTCTGCCTCCTGGGTTCATGCCATTCTCCTGCCTCAGCCTCCCGAGTAGCGGGTACTACAGGCATCTGCCATCACACTCGGCTAATTTTTTTTTTTTTTTGTATTTTTAGTAGAGACGGGGTTTCACCATGTTAGCTAGGATGGTCTCGATCTCCTGATGTCGTGATCTACCCACCTTGGCCTCCCAAAGTGCTGGGATTACAGGCATGAGCCACCACGCCCTGCCAAAGCTTTTCTTATATCAACAGGAACTCTGTAATGCAAGCAGAAAAATGTATGCTATATACAGATTCAACATGTAACAGTTATTCTTCAAAACCAAGTGACAATGCATAATTTCAATACTCTGGAGCTTTTAATTTTATTTTTATTTTTAATTAATTATTATTTTTTTTTTTGAGATGAGTTTTGCTCTTGTTACCCAGGGCTGGAGTGCAATGGCACAGTCTCGGCTCACTGCAACCTCCGCCTCCCAGGTTCAAGTGATTCTCCTGCCTCAGCCTCCGCCTCCCAGGTTCAAGCGATTCTCCTGCCTCAGCCTCCCAAGTAGCCAGGATTACAGTTGCCGGTCACCACACCCAGCTAATTTTTGTATTTTTAGTAGCAACAGGGCCTTGTTAGCGAGGCTCGTCTTGAATTCCTTACCTCAAGTGATTCGCCTGCCTCGGCCTCCCAAAGTGCTGGGATTATAGGCATGAGCCACTGCACCCGGTCTCTGGTGCATACATAAATATGTATTCCTATTTAAGCCAAATCTTGATTTTTCCTTCAGGTAAGTTTGCTGTAGCATTTGTTTTGTACCTACTGGGAATGGGTTCCCACTGGCACGTCTCCAGTAGTCACTATGATAAATCAGACATTTCCCTCCCAGGTAAAGGAAAACCAGTGAGAAGAGCTTGCTATTTTAGATGGTCAAATATCAGTGATAACGTGACAATCTCATTGCTAAATATTGTTAAACAAAACAAAACACCTTGACTATAGGTTACGTCATAGCAAGATCTGTGGAGGAACAGTGCTGAATGTTATCTTTTCTCTTTAGGATTTATTATGCATTTTTGCTCTAAGTCTTACATTCTTGGAGTAACAATTTTAATTGGCCAAAGCAAAATTTTATAGCAATTATCATTGGCCTATCCCCAGTCGTCACTATGATAAACTAGACAAATTTGGCTACCAAGTAAAGTAAAACCAGTGAAGTACTAAACTGTGAATGCAGGTTCTAAAGCACATTTTGTTGTAATTTATTTAATAAAATTTGAATATATTAAGCATTTACTTGGATGCACCAATATTTACTTTTCCTGGAATAGTGATCAATTATGGCTATTCCAGGACCAAATTTTAAATCCAATTCTAATTATTTCAAAAGTCAAGACCAAATAGGTTATAATAATACCTTTTCCAAGTTCCCCGATTTTCAACTGTGTGTGTTGGTGCATGCCTGTAGTCCCATCTACTCAGGAGGCTGAGGCAAGAGAATTCCTTGAGCCCAGGAGTTGGAGGTGGCAGTGAGCTGTGATCTTCTCCGTTCCACTGGCAACCTCTGCCCTCCCAGGTTCAACTGATTCTCCTGCCTCAGCCCCAAGTAGCTGGATTACAGGCACCGCCACCACTCCCAGATAATTTTTGTATTTTTGTAGAGATGGGTTTGCCATGTTGGCCGAGGCTGGTCTTGAACTCCTGACCTCAAGTGATCTGCCCACTTCAGCCTCCGAAGTCTGGATTACAGGTGTGAGCCACTCTGCCGGCTGCTATTCTTTTTTTTTTTTTTTTTTTTGACGAGAGCTTGCCTGTGTCCCTCCCAGTCTGGGTGCAGTGGGCCGGATCTCCAAGCCTCACTGCAGCTCCGCCTCACCAGGTTTAATGCCCATTCTCCTGGCCTCAGCCTCCCGAGTAGCTGGACTACAGGCACCGCCACCTCGCCTGGCTAATTTTTTGTTTTTAGTAGACAGTTTTCACAGGCTAGCCAGGATGGCTCTCAGGTCTCCTGACTTCGGTGATCGCCCGCACTGGCCTCCCAAGTGTTGGGATTACAGGCGGTGGAGCAAA